ATCCTTTATTGCAGCTGAATACAATGTGAATGAACAGCAACACTGAACTACAAAAGCAGCACTGTGTTAGCAACAGTATCAGAAGTTGCAGAACATGATGTGGTGTTTGATCACAAGAAGCCTTTGGCACTGTGAGATGCTGTGCGCAGAGATGAAAACTGAGAGCATTGATTTCATTGTAGAAGAGCAAGGACTGTGTGTTATTTGCCATGTGTGTGTGTGAACTGTCTGGAACATAAAACTATAGAGGCCCATTCAGACCTTCCTTTCTCTCCTTCCATCAGGAGATAGCAGGGACATTGAACTGCAGCAACAAAAGCAGATTTCCATCAGAGAGTTTCTCAGAGAGAAAGGCATTGTGTTGAAAGGGGCTTAATGGAGGCTCAGCTTAAAGCTTTATTCACACAAACTGTACTCTTGGGTTGGCAGAAACACATATGTGTACACAAACACACACTCGCACACAATCACTTTTCCCATATACCAAACACTCCTTGTTCTCCTCCACTAAAATTGGTGCTCTCATTTTATAATGTTTATAAATGGTAGAGGAGAGTTTGTGACCAGATAGTTGCTCTGGAGCAAGCTACTTCAAACTCTTTGTGCTGATCTCAGGCTAAAATCATATGTGTGATCGGGCTTGGTTTAAAAAAACACGCAGTTGGTGCCTGGGTAAAAGAGTCTCTCACCTCTGATCGACTAACCCGAATCACCTCTTCAATGCTGAGCACACCTAGAAAATAATAAACCATGAAAAAATGTTTTATTTTCAAGGAGCCAGCGTTTGTTGTGCACACACATTATATGTCAATATGTTTTTCTAATACTGTTTTAATCCTGCTCAGTCACCAAGAGTTAGACAAAGAATTTTTAGTCCTCCACACAAAAAAACCCCCCAAAACAATTCTGCTATTGTATTGGAAAAAAAAAAAAAGACCAGAAAATTCTGCATATTCTAGCAAATCATCAAACAAAAAGGTTTCATATTTATTTTAAAACAGATGCTTTTGCTTTTGTCTTTTATGTGTGTCCACTGTAGCTACGTTTTCACTAAGTTGGGGCACTTATAATTCTTTGTGTGTGTTAAGATCACCAGTCAAGATAGTTTGTGTAAGAAATCTGATTACTTTATAAATCATACATGTCTAATGTATTATATTGCACCTGCTTATAGCTTTAGCACTGCTTCATATGTTATTGCAATATTAATTAACCATATAAATTTTTTATAACCATTCAGATAATTGTCACTGATGATTTACAAACCAGTTTTATATAAGTAAGTATTATTATAATTTTGTTTTTCACAGTAATTAGCTTTCACCCTTCCCATAAATTTTGAGATTTACAAGTTCAGTAAGTTTTGTTCTTCCCCATAGTGTAACTACATTTGTAATCAATGTTGTGGATGGGATTCGTCTAGTTTTTCCCATCATACTGGTTACTGAAACACATGTTACACCCAGAATAACTGTTGTATGCTCTCTAAGATGTATTAGTCTCACCAAATTTTAGGCATTTATTGAGTCGTGACCCTATGGCATAAAAATCTGATTTGGCAATATCCATGCAGCCAATTTTCTGATACAGATTTGTTGCATTTGTGGTATGACTCCAAACTCCACATTATGTATTTTGGTGACTTCAGGTTTATATGTAAGAACTTTAATGCGTTATTTTAGAAATACTTACGCAGCTTGTGAATTCAACTTAAGCTCAGCAAGAGTCTTAGTCAATCCAGTTTAAAAATGATTTATCCATAATTTTTTAGTGAGATATTTTGTTCCCCTTCATGAAAAAAAAATTAGATGCTGTTAGATCAGAGAAACAATTGGGCAATTATGAAGTTAAACTGATAAGTTAAACTAATGAAAGAATTTAACTTTGGGGCAAGCTGCTTTACAGATGACCAGAAACTCTAAACTTGATTATTACTTTTCCAACTACCTGCCTCAAGTTTTGAGGTAGTACAGTAGTATTGCCACTTGGGGAACACTTTCCATAGGGTTTAGGAGTTCATGGGAATTTTGGAATGTTGGCACAGGAGGTGGCTATCCTCAAACTGTTTTCACAAAGTTAGAATGATGAAATTGTCCAAAATGTCTTGGTGTGCTGAAGCATTAAGAGTTCCTTTGACTGGAACTAAGGAGGCGAGCACAACTCCTGAAAAACAACCCCACACCATAATGCCCCCTCTACCAAACTTTACACTTGGCAAAGTCAGACAAATACCGTTCTCCCGGCGACTGCCAAACACAGACTCATCCATCGGATTGCACGACAGAGCAGTCTGATTCGTCACTCCAGAGAACACATTTCCATTGGTCTGCAGTCCAGTGTTGGTGGGCTTTTACACCACTGCATCTGACACTCTGCAGTGAGCTTGGATGCAGCTGCTCGGCCATGGAAACCCATTCCATGAAGCTCTCTGTGCACCGTTCTTGAGCTAATCTGAGGCCATGTGAAGTTTGGAGGTCTGTATCGATTGGCTGCAGAGAACTGGTGACCTCTGCACACCATTTGCCTCAGCATCCACAAACCCCCGCTCTGTGATTTTCTGTAGTCTACCACTTTGAGGCTGAGTTGCTGTAATTCCCAGTCACTTCCACTTTGTTTTAATGCCACTAACAGTTGACTGTCGAATATTTAGTAGGGAGGAAATTTAATGACTGGACTTGTGTCAGGCGACTGGTGCATGTGCATTTAAGGTTTTGTAAGTGAGCGAGAGGGATGTTAAATGTATTTTTAAACATTTGTATGCACTGAAAGAGAAAACGATCCAATTCGGGAAGCTGAACTTACTACGCTGTGCATAAATAATCACCATTTATTCAGGTTTGGATGTACGCATTTGTAAAATAGTTTCCATGTGATCACAATGCTTCATATTTGTGTCTGGATCGGAGCACGCATTTGTGAGTCCTCAAAAGTTGCATGACTACATTTGTTTATGCTTGTGAATCATATCGTACGCATTCGTAACACTTTTGAGGCAAATTTCTCTCCATAGAAATGGGGCCAAATGCATGCTGATCGACTGTTCTTTTGTTTGGTGCTTCTTGCGTACTATTTCTGCTGTAACCTTCCTCTCGAAAAGTACCTCACACATTCACACACAGAAGCAGTTACACAGCTTGTAAAGTACTTTGAGTGGCCAGTATGACTAGAAAAGTGCTATATAAATGCAGTGCATTTATCATGTACACTGAGATGTCGGGGCACACGCAGCTTTTAGTAGAACATTTGTTCTATCTTCAAATTTGGGATCCACCAACAATGTACGAGACCGAAACAGTTGTCTGTCTCTCAGAAAGCTTTTCTGTCTTTTTCGTCAGTCGTTTTCACAATGAACTGAACAGTTCTGCTCTGTAGATCGTGTACATTGGAAAGCCTGCCTGCTTTTCCTCTCTTTCTCAGATTGGAGTTGTCGTCCTTTATATTACAGGCAAAGTGGGGATGAGTGAGCAGTCCTCTCAGGGATTAACTGCTGACTGACTCCAAAAGTTGAAGGCAGACTTTCTCGTTACGAGACATGTAAAAATCTTCTCAACACATGCGTACACGCACAAGTACACACAGTCCTAAGGTTTTTCCAGTGTTGTCCCAAAAATCATATCGCTCAATATTCCCCCAGAAAAGACGACACAATGGCTGCTCCCAAATCTGATTGGTGTTATTTGTAAGTCAGCCTAAATCTCAGAGAAGCTACACACACAAATGGAACAGGGCTTACTAATCCATTTGTAAGGCAATAGGCAGGCAAACAGGCAGGGGAGAGCTTGCCAAGTGTTGTAATCACAACTAAAGATGATGAGCCCACTCCCTTCCGCTACAGTACTGTGTGCGTTTGTATCTACGCGTACATTTGTGTGTGTGTTTTGTGTGCATTTGCATGTTTGTCCTACATCGCCTCCTTTAGAAAACTGTGACAAGAGAGGGAGAAAATGAATCGGTATCAAGTGGATAATCTACAAAAGTACACTAGGAGCTTTTCCACCTTATGCAAGTCCCCCGCTCATTCATTTGCAGCTACCACGCAATCTCTCTTAGAACAACAACAAGCCGGCAATATGAGTTTTGAAAAGGCGGTAATTGTAAGCAGGTTGGGGAATAAATTAGAATGATGACAAAATACAGAGATAAATCCAGCTTAAGAGAGATGTACGCCACTGTTTATTTGATTTCAGCTTTTCTCTCTATCCTGCTCTTTCTCCCTCCCTCATTCCTGATCTTTTTTAGTGGGGTGGAAAAATGGATTTTTGTCAGCGATTTGGCCCTGAAATAGCTTATTGTCTAAGGCAGCCACTGTGCGGGTACAACGTCAACATCACATGTGTGTGCGAACGCGCTTGCCTGTTTCCATGGGGAGTAATGGCCGTGGAAGTGTGTATTGGCTCTGCTGGCACAATACGCCACTGTGCTCATTGGTTTAGACTGGTGTGTGTGTTTACAGTATGTGTGTATGTAGTTCTATAGACTCTCTTGTTGATATTTATAGATGTAAGAATTCTGGTATGAAGGGGCGAGGGTAAGAAGAATGTGGGGAGCAAAGGGGGGAGGGTCAGGCAGAGGAAAGGGAGTAGGAAGGAAAGAAGGAAAGGTTCTTTAAGATAGAATTATTGACTGTCGCCTTCAGCTTTTTTTCGTTCTCCTCCTTCCTCTAACTTTCTGTGTCTTTATTCTGTAAACCATCAGTTTTACTTCTCATGTTATGAGTCAGAGCAATTTGTCACATAGAAGCCCTGTGTGCTGGAAAGTCTGATGACCACTGGACTCGGTATGGCTGCAGTTTACTTCACCATACATGTGCCTTTAATGGGAGAAATGTCAAAAAGCTGAAAAAGTCAAATAGTCAAACTTATATTTATTTGTGACTTTCCCACTGATAAATCTCCCTTTCTCAGTTTCACCCTCTTTGATTTTTTTTAAAATAAAAATTTTATGTACCACAGGATAGTCATACAATTACTTTATTTTATTGTTTTCTTCTTTGTGTCCAGGTTTGAAGGGGCTAAGTGGACAGAGCAGCTGATTACTTCTGGGTATTTTTTTCCTTCATATTGCTCATCAAGTAACTGGTAAGGGCCTTTTTTCCTGTTAAGAGTGGTGCACTTTATAACTCAGATATTCCAGATATAGTCTATTGTTTTAGTCTACATAGGCATACAGCTATGGGAAGAAAATGTGAACCCTTTATTATTTTCCAGATTTCTGCATAAACATGACCTGAAACTTTAATAAATTTCTAAAGTGAGGTTTAAAAATTAAATACATTAAAAATATTAGACAAAATAGTTTTAAGGAAAACGATCCATTGCATATCAGTGAAGAGAAAAAGCATTTGAAATGTTGCTTTTAGTGTCTGAGTTGATCTCATGTGCAGCAGTGACTGCAGCTAAATGTTTAAGGTGCCCGGTGAACCGTCCTTTGGGTTAGCACTGAAGACTTTTAGACCATTGTCGTACTCAGAACAGCTTCAGCTCTGAGGTCTGTGTCCTCATATTCAGTGCTCACTTCAGGCTCTTTTCAGTTATTTCTGTCGTTGTTTCCTATCATCATACCTTTTCCTATCATTTAGATCACTGACAGATGTCCTGATGATTTTAGAATTGAATAGTTTCATTGCTTCATCAGTGATGACAAGCCATATTTGCTCAGATGCAGCAAAAAACCAAAGATGCCAATGCCACCATGTTTCTTGATTGGGATACATTTTTAATAGTGTGATGCATTTTTTTTTCTTGCTCCATATATATAACCCTTCTCACGTAAATGAAAATGTCTATTTTAATCTCATCTATCCAAGAAACACTGTTCAAACAGTCTTCTGACTCATGCATGTGCAGATGGGAAGCGCTCTCTGCAGAGAACAGTGCTTTCTCCTTGCAGCCCTGCCATACACACCATTGTTCTTCAGTATCCTCCACATGATAGACTGAAACTGAAACATGTCACAAACCAGTGCATGAGAGCTTTCTAACAGATCATCTAGTGATATACAGTAGGGCTGCCACGATTAGTCGACTAGTCACGATT